TATATATATATACACACACGCATATGCATGTATATGTATACATGGACTTCAAGCTTTTATAGCTGTCCTTGCCTGCTCTGCCTCGCGCCTTAATAAACAGGATTCGAGCATGGTTCCGCAACCACCGAGCCTTGTCCAGGCAGCCTCGGACGCACGGGAGCCTGGCGATGCAACTGCAGGGTGCCCAGTGGACCAGGAAGTGCCCGGCCTATAGTTTGGGGGCACTCCGCGAGTGTGGGGGAGGTTGGGAGGGGGATGGTACACTCCGCACACGGCAACATGAAGTGACGCCTACAGCTTTCTCGATGCTGAGACAGACCGGCCATGTCGATGGGACAAGCTAAGTCTGATTGTGTGAGCTGGGAGAGACATGTAACACCTTCTGCTGCAATAATCTTGTGCATTGCTCCGAACCAGCCTTGTGCTGTCTTGGCGTCAGCCATTTGGTCCTAGCTTATGTAGCTTTCAAGCCCCTCAACAGCTGCCAGCGCAAGCGCGACTCTGCAAAGAGGAGCAAGCATCATAGCACAGACAGAGCATCGCCCAGGCCTCAGTGGACCTAGGACCCACGCCTGGGACCATAGGCCTTGGGCATGGGACCTTGAGGGACATGGTTCCAGCAAAAAGTTTTGTAGGTGGTCAAACAGGGTTCCCAAAGAGCTTTGCTTTGTCAGAGCCACAACCTGACACTGCGCTGGGGGCCAAGGTTTGCTTGCAGCATGGCACCTGCCTGGTGGCGAAATATGGGCACAAAGTTCGACATATCTTCCGTATTTGCAGTTACTCTGGGAGCACGCTTTCCGCCAGATGAGGGGCTGGTGAAAGGTAAGGACCTGCTTCTGAGAACAGATGTGGGAGTGGCCCACATCCTGGATCCCAATGTCGGCCTTGGCATAAACTATGCAATCCTCGGCTGGCATTGGGGCATGGTCCTTGTCTTCCTGGTTGTGTACTTGGGGATTATGGCCCTGACTACGCCCATGCACAGCATCCCCTGGCTCACCTTGGTGCAAAAGCTCCTTGTCTTCTGGAATATGTGGGAAGCGCTTGGGTTCGGTGTTATCTCTGGGCCAATGCACGCCAAAGTGAACCCGCCTTTTCAGGATTGGTGGTATCGATGGACAGTGGGCTCTATGAAGTACAACGCTCCCTTCCTTCCATGCCTTCCCAACCGCCGGAATTACTTGGATGTCTTTGTGGAGGGCATCTTGATGTACGCGCTGACAATCCGAGTGCTTATCTCCCCAGAAGTCACCCCTTCGCTGATGTGGCCGCTCACCGGGTGCCTGACGCTTGGCTTGCAGGTGGAAACTGTTTGCCATACAAAAATACGAATAAAGATAAGAGTAGTGGTAATAGTACTAGCACTAGTAATAGTAATAAAAATACTAGTAATAACAGTAGCACTTTGCACCGTACAACTTGCCAGAACAGAGTAGGCAGTAGGCTCTGCATACAGTTCAGGCGGGTTGTGCAGGCTTTGTGGCTTTCTGACCTGCGCTGCACGTGGTGGCTGGTCCTGTCTGCGTTGTGAATAATAACAATGATAATGGTATTAATAATTCTAATAACAATGATAATAGTAGTATGAATGATAGGAACTGTTACTGTTACTGAACCAAGGATTTACGAGTTCCTTTTCGACTATGGGCAGCATATGCACACATACGGAACACAAACGATGTACTGCTTCTTCTGCATGTGCTTCAGCGTGGAGCAGGGTCAAGTGGCTGGCCTGCAGCTCTTCATGACCTGGCACGGAGCTCAGACAGGGTTTTTCGAAAATGGTGGATAGCCTATTCGGGGTCCCAATGCCGGGCCCAGCTGTTCTATCTTCTGTGCCCCTATTGGGACCCTTGAAGCATGGGCTATTCGACTTTGGGAGCCCTTAATTCGAGAGGCTCTCAGATTTTCAAGCGTCGTGGTGGTGGCCTTAGGGCAGCTGGCCTTCTGTGCTTGCTGTTTCTGCTCCTGCTGATGTTATTGCTAGTAGTAATTCGGGCGAGCGAACCGCTCACCTTCTCAGCAAGCTGTTAAAAAAAAAAAAAAAAAAAA